GTAGTTATGGCTCGTGGGCTCTAGAGTGCAGGCTCAGTAGTTGTGGCTCACGGGCTTAGTTGCTCTGCAGCATGTGGGATCTTCCCCGACCAGTGCTCGTACTCGTGTCCCCTGCGTTGACAGGCGGATGCTCAACCACTACGCCACCAGGGAAGCTCGAAAGTTCTTTCTATGACATTTCTGCCCTCTTTTCTTGCATAATTCTCTTCAGTCTTTTCCAAGTTGTTACTAATTCCCTTTTACTGAAGGAGGATCCACTGCCCTAGGTTTTTAACTTGGATCATGTTCAAGGGCTTGAGAACTATCTGACGTTTTATGATAATTTTTGTGTTATTCTTTGTTTTAGGTGTTTAGCTTTTATCAGATCCTCAAAATAATCTATGATAACAAAAGTGTCCATCCACTAAACAGTAATTTTCTGTATCCTATCAGAGCGACTTAGTCTTCTCACTCGTAAGTCTCTTTCGACACTAGATGAGGCATATCCACTCAATCAAAAACCGGTAAGGAGTATTTTGGATGCTCCCAGTACTGAGCTTCATGCTAAGAATGAAACAATGAATATCACAATTCTGTAATAAAGACTTAGTGAAAGAGAAAATGATAAGGAGGAGTTGTAGAGAAGTAAATTTATTGAACATACAAGTTTCTCTGACTCCAAAACCTATTATTGTTTCATTTCACCATGCCATGATTATCCCCAATTTGATTTGCTCCCTCCTTCTGGATCTTATTAAAGCTGTAGGATATCGGGCATGAAGTATCCAACCAGTTTTTTTTTTCTCATTGTGAGCTAACATTGTGTTGGGTAAAGGAAGAAGTTTAGTGATGTCCCAATTATTTTGCAAGTTGAGGCTTTCATTTTCAATTTTAATTCCGAGAAGAAAATTACACATTCTTCTTTAAAATCTCCCTCCAATCCAATATACACAGAGTATAGACTAGAGTGGATCCCAGCAAAGATAGAGCAGAGCGTGAGCACATAGGTAAGAAAGATAATGAATCAACTCTGTAGCTAGTATTTGCACAGAAAATTAAGAAAAAGGGAAAATCTCTGAAAAAATGCAGTGATGACTTTATGGATTTAAAGACTGTATTTAAAGCAAAGGCATAAGACAAGACCTAAGAGAAATAAGTAATAAGGGCCTTGAAGCAAAAAGCACACACCTGCCAGTCTATGTGGGATGCCAGAAGCAGGTCTGAAAAGGACCATAACATTAACATGCAGTAGAAAGAGAGCTCAAAATGCACTATATGGTTTGTTGTATTTATCTATGTTGAGTGATTTACGTATACTTCCCATTGCAGGAGGTGGGTCCCATCACTCCCAATCTATTCTTCTTTTATTCACGTTAGCTACTATATTTGTCTCCTATTGTTGCTGTAACAGATTACCTAAACTTAGTGGTTTTAACAATAAAAATTTATTATCTTATAGCTCTGTAGTTCACAAGTCCTAAGTGGGCCACGTTGGGCTAAAATCGAGGTGTGCATTCTTTCTGGAAACTCTAGGGGAGAGCAAGTTTTCTGGCCTTTTCCACCTCTTAGAGGCTGCCAACATTCCTGCATGCCTGGCCACTTCCATCTCCAAAGCTACTAATAGCTGGTCCGGTCTTTCTCACGTTGCATCACTCTGACACTGACCCTTCTGCCATCCTCTTTCACATTTAAGAACTCATGATTACATTGGGTAATCCAGGATAAACTCTTTATTTAAAGGTCAGATGATTAGCCGTCTTAATTCCCTCTGCAACCTTTATTCTACTTTGTTATATAATATATGACAAATGCTGGGGATTAGGACCTGGACAACTTTGGGTAGGAGGACATGATTCTGTCTAATACAGCTAGGAAGTTAAAAAAAAAAAGCGCCCTAATTAATGTTTTGTGTCACAGCATGACAGGTAGACCTTTCCTGAGCTGTAAAGTTTCTTATCCTCTGTCTCTTATACCCGTTAAACCAACTGAGAAACAAAGAACTATATTAAGTTACCACAGGATGCGTTAATATTAAGTTAATTCAGTAGTCATATATGAGAAGAGGAATTATGTAGCCTTCTCTAAAACTTCTTTTTTTTTTTTTTTGCGGTACGCGGGCCTCTCACTGTTGTGGCCTCTCCCGTTGTGGAGCACAGGCTCCGGACGCGCAGGCTTAGCAGCCATGGCTCACGGGCCCAGCCGCTCTGCGGCATGTGGGATCTTCCTGGACCGGGGCACGAACCCGTGTCCCCTGCATCGGCAGGCGGACTCTCAACCACTGCACCACCAGGGAAGCCCTCTAAAACTTCTTATAGTATAACTGAATCAAATGAAACTCAGAGAGATTCCTAGTTCTTGATATCACAGAAAACCAATGTTAGAACATCTAGTTACCTCCACCGTCTCTGATTTATTTTCTCAATGCAATATTATGATCAACACATATATGATTGGAGAAATGAAAAACTTGAAAAGTCATTTGCCTTGAGTTGTAGTTTGAAATAGAAAAATAAAAATTGTTGGGAATTCCCTGGCCATCCAGTGGTTAGGACTCTGCACTTTCACTGCCAAGGGCGAGGTTCAATCCCTGGTCAGGGAATTAAGATCCTGCAAGTCGCCCAGCACAGCCAAAAAAAAAAAGAAAAATTGCTTTCTTAAATTGTACGTCAATCCTGAGCTAGGAATATAGTAGTCATTACTGTTCCCATTTTACCTTTGAAAGATGAGGCATATGGGGCTCTTATTAAACACACTGCTAGAAGGGGCAGAAGCCAGATTTGCCCAACTCCAAAGCCCATGCCCTGGCTGCAAGCATCTAGCCATTCCACCACCAGGCAACTATCATCAGGAATGTGAAAAGTCCTGTTCTTGACTTGTAGGACCTAAATTAAGAAATTTAGCTTAGAAATTCACAGTTGGGACTTCCCTGGTGGTCCAGTGGCTAAGACTCCACACTCCCAATGCAGGGGGCCCGCACTCTAGATCCCTGGTCAGGGAACTAGATCCCACATGCTGCAACTAAGAAGTTCACATGCCACAACTAAAGATCCCACATACCTCAATGAAGATCCTGTGTGCCGCAACTAAAACCCAACACAGCCAAATAAATAAATATTAAAAAAAAGAAATCCACAATTGTTTTATAATTCCCAAGGACATAACATCATTTCAAGTGATGCTGTAGATTTCTAAATGATGTTATGTTCTAAGGACATAACATCATTTCAAGTAATGCTGTAAAGTAGAAGTCATACTCTAACTGAGCCTATTTATGTGAATTCACTTTATTAAGAATATTTATAATATATGTCATCTTTTAAATGAATAAAGAGAATTAATATGAGAAAAGGGAGAGCTGCAGCAATCTATTTGGTGTTAAACTCTCCAAAGTTGGAGCTTTAATACAATTATATTGTTTCTAACATTCAAAGGCTTTCATTCTCTCTCTCTCTCTCTTTGAAGGAGGCATCTTCCAACTGAAACAGCATTTCAGATAACTCAATATTTAAAACATTTCTCAACAGCAATGTCAAGTCTAAATAAAATATACTATGATAACATTATAGAAAACATACATTTTAAATAGTAGATTTCAGGGCATGGGTGAAAGGAACATTCTTTTCCTTTGCATCATTTCCAACTATTTTTTGTTTGAGGATAAGATTTTTTACCCATTGGCCATTCTTCATTGCTTCTTTCAGATTACGATGTACGTGTTTTCCATTCCTTCAAGAGCATGTAAAATATACTCCACCCTGTGTTTTGTGAATGTTGCCATCTTGAACAGATATTGAATAATAGCCAGGGAAAGTCACACTGTGATGTTTCCACATCACCTATTAGGAACAATCAGGAACATGAAAGGGCAAGTGGATGCTATCTGGACAGAGTCCACTTGAATGAAGACACAGAAGACCCACCCAAATCTCAAGCTTCTTCCATTTGGTTTCAATGATGAGTCATTTAGGAAGGAAATTGTTTGGGAAGTAAACTGAAGGTAACTTCCTGTGTTCTTTATTTTATCAAATAATCTATTTTCTGAAGTTCTTTCATGGGTTCATCTCACAGGTAATTTGGCTGTTTATTTTTCTGAGCAACTTTACATAGAATGCTGAAATACATTCTACTTAATTTAAGGCATTTAAATTAATTATTATAGTGAGAGTACTGTTATCTGATCACTTTTGAATGCCGATTGCATTTAGTGAGGGTCCTTAGAAGTAATGCCTTGTGTCTGGTTTAAAAAACAGAATAATTTTCCAAACTGTTTACTATTCATCTTAAACTACTTCCTTCTACTTCAAACCCAGACTGTGGCTAAGCTCTGCAAAAGCTTGAGTCCTTAATAATACATTGGAATCGGAGGTCAAGTTGGGGGATAATTGTGATTTTTAAATTTTTTTTTAAATATCAACTTTGGAAAAAAGCAGCACTGAATTTCCTAAGTCTGTGATATTAAGTTGTTAAAATATAATTATTAAATAAGTTACAACACGTGCCAAAGCTATCTGTATCTATATCTATGGGACGAAGGAAAGTTAGGAAACATCAGGGGATCCAGTTTGAAAATGATAAGTAGCAGTTTCTTGATTACTAAAGTGATCATTCTAAAATGTGAAATATGTAATTGCCACATATCACTTAGATTTTAATTTTGGGATGTGTATTTATTTACTTTTCTATTTTTTCCATCTTTCTAATTACCAGGCTATCAGCAAGTACCCTAATCAAAAAGAAATTGCCTTTTGGCAATTCCCTGGAGGTCCAGTGGTTAGGACTCCTGCACTCACTGCACATTTCATCAACATTCCTTGCTAGCTATTTATTCATATCTCTAAAGGCAAAATAAAAGGAAGTGGTTTGAGCACTGGCAAGTCTCTTGTTAGACAAAGTTTTAAAGTGATGTATCCAGTGACTAAAGGATGTAATTGTTTTATTTGGTTATCTTTAGTAAAGTAATAAGGTTATATATTGTAATACCCCTCAAGAAGTGAAAAATGCAAGATAAAAATTTGATGTTTTTCAGCCGGGGAAATATTTGTGAAACCCTCAAAATATTCATAAAGGATTGGTTTTGTTCATTCTGCAACATTGTGATTGAAAGAGCTTTGGAGTTAGACAGATTTGGTCCTTGGGTAAGTAACTCAATAGTTCTAAGCCTCAGGACTTCCCTGGTGGTCCAGTGGTTAAGACTCTAAGCTTCCAGTGCAGGGGGCGTGGGCTGGATCCCTGGTTGGGGAAGTTCTGCATGCCACTAGGTGTGGCGAAAAAAATAAATAAAAGTTCTAAGCCTCAGTTTCCATATTAATAAAATAATTATATTTTCTCCATAGGACTATGATACAAACTAAATTAAATACAATTTACAGAAAAATGATTACTATAATAGATAGCAAATATGAGTGGAAAATAAATGTAGAACAAGAAAGCATTGGTGGGATCTATCATTTAGTCCCAGTGTATTTTTATGTTTTCACTTTTTATTGGGCTATAATTTACATACAGTAAAATGTACACAGTTATGTGTACAATTATAATAAATTTTTAAAGTAGAATATGTCCATGTCACTTATACCATTATCAAGATATAAAATGATTCCACTGCTGCAGAAAGCTGGCTTATTTATGTACTTTTCCAGGTAATCCTTGCCACTCCCTCTTCCCCCAGCCTTGATTCTTGATTACTTTCATTATAGATTAGTTTTATCTTTCTTAAGAATTTTATATTACTGGAATCGCACAGTATGTACTCTTTTGTGACTTTTTTTTCTCCTTATGTAATTGAGATTCACCCACGTTGTTGAATTTATCAGTGGTTCATTACTTTATATTGTTGAGAAGTATTCCATTGTATTGAGATACACCCATTTATTTATCCATGCTCTTATTGACGGAATTTGAGTTGTTTGCATTTTTAAAATGAATTTCAGTTTATTATGAATAAAGCAGCCATGGATGGATCATAGGGTATGTTTATGTTTAACGTTATATAAAACTGCCAGATTGGTTTCCAAAGTGGCTATATACTTTTATACTCCCATTAGCAATTTATGAGAGTTTCATTTATCCCAGAACAAGGCTTCCTCATGCTACCCCTTTATAGCTATAGCTACCCATCCCACCATCCCTAATCTGGTAACCACTAATCGATTCTCCATCCCTATACTTTTGTTAGTTCAAAAATGTTACTTAGGGACTTCCCTGGTGGCGCAGTGGTTAAGAATCTGCCTGCCAATGCAGGGGACACGGGCTTGAGCCCTGGTCCACAAGGATCCCACATGCCGCGGAGCAACTAAGCCCGTGGGCCACAACTACTGAGCCTGCGCTCTAGAGCCCGTGAGCCACAACTACTGAGCCCGCGCGCCTAAAGCCCGTGCTCCACAACAAGAGAAGCCACCGCAATGAGAAGCCCGCGCACCACAACAAAGAGTAGGCCCCGCTCACTGCAACTAGAGAAAGCCTGCAGCAACGAAGACCCAAAGCACCCAAAAATAAATAAATAAATTTATTAAAAAAACCAAACAACCCTCTGAATAGTAACACTCTGTGAAAGGGAAGAAAGATGAGAGTATGAAACCATGAAGCCAAGAAAAAAAATCTTTCAGTAAAGAAGCTAGACATTTGTGTTGAATGCTACTGAGAAGTCAAATAATCTGTTTATGGATGAAGTTAAGTTGTGCCAGTTAAGTACAGTGGAGAGTAGACCAAGAAATGAGGGAGTCCAAACATGGGCAATGGAATCTGAGTCAGATGCATAAGGAAGGAAATGAGGAGATAAGAGGTGAAAGATAGTGATGAGGTTTGGTGAATCAATAGGCTCAGTGAAACTGAAGTTAGATGTTAGAGTGTAAGTACTAAAATAAGTGAGCTGGAAGTGTTGGGAATAAAGGAAGATGATTGAAATGAAAATTTTGGAAATGGTGCAGTAATTAATGATGAGATCAAGGTCTGTATGACCATAGGAACTATGGAAGAAGGCAACACTGGAGTTTAGGACAAGAGAGCCCAAGCAGGATGTTAAGTATGCAGTCCATGTGGATATTGAAATTACCAAGATGTCAAGAGTAGGGAATGACAGAAGCCAATGAGCCAGGTTTCAATTATTTACCCAACTGAACATAATCTTTCCCTCTTTGAACTTCCTGTTAAATTTTGTACCTCCTGGGCTTCCCTGGTGGCGCAGTGGTTGAGAGTCCGCCTGCCGATGCAGGGGACACAGGTTCGTGCCCCGGTCCGGGAAGGCCCCACATGCCGTGGAGCGGCTGGGCCCGTGAGCCATGGCCGCTGAGCCTGCGCGTCCGGAGCCTGTGCTCCGCAACGGGAGAGGCCACAACAGTGAGAGGCCCGCATACTGCAAAAAAAAAAAAAATTTTGTACCTCCTTAGTAACTTTCTCTTATTCTTTGCCTTTTGTATACTTGTTTTTGTTTTTTTTTTCCTCTTCTAAGACTAGGCAATGAAAACAAATCTGTGGCTATCCCCTATAGCACAGAGCACACATTTTCTAATACAGTGTTGCCGTGAATGAGAGATTATAGTGACCTTAAGAAGCCTCTGTATGACTGAGGGCAGAACCATTTCATTAAGGGCCAGTCCAGTTTGGAGATAGGAGAATAATAATGCCTTACAGAAATCATCTCATGACAAAGATATACAGCAACAGTCAAAATTTATTTTAGAAGAGATTTTCAGTTCTTAAATAGTACAAAAATAAACAGACATTTGTTTCAACACTTACAGTTTACATAAATTAATTTAATCATACATTTGTCTGAGGCACCAAAACATTCAACACATATTCCAAATTCCCAGATTCAGTCATTCAGATATTAACAAATCAGTTTTTTTTAAATCAAGTTAACAATTTTTTATACAAGCCCTTCTACTATTGACTCTTTCTTAACAATAACATAAAACCTTAAAAGTTCCCCTGAGTTATTTCTCTTTAATGAAATTTTATTTTCTCCCTCTGCCTGAGGCATACTTTTTCAATTATTTACATAAATACTGATGTTGTCTGTAGTCAGTGCTTGATTTAAAAATATTAAAACCCACAGTTCTTTGCACGGAATGTCCCCCCAGAAAGTTATGGGTCAATGAATTAATGAAACGTCCACAGGTCCCTCAAAAATGTACAAAATATCAGTCTTATAGCACATCCAGGCTAATGAGACACAACATTCTCTGTGGGCTGGTGTATAGGTAAACCTTAAAGACAAATTCCAACTTTACATCTCAGTATACCAAAGTTGGATTCCTAAATAAATGTATTCACAAACCTTAAGCCAATTATTTATCTTGTATTAATAATTCAGAGGTAATCCCAAAAGATACATTGATTCTGATATAATGCAGAAAAAAAATCAATGCAGCCTTAAACCCAGTTTATAATAACCATCCTAAGAAGACATAAATAATAGTCTTCAATAAATTAAATTAATATACAGTACCAGAAAATGTCAGCTGACAGTGAGATGTGGAAAAGAAGCATTGTCTTCCTGGGAACTATTCAGCAATTAAGTTTTGTTTTTAAGTGAGAACCCCCTACAGTTCTAAGCTATTAGCCTCTATAAGGCTACTTTGGTTTTAAATTATTCACAAAGTTCTCTGCCTTTCACTTAAAATGAGTGTATACCTTCTTGTAAAGGCCTTCTGTAGTAGTCCTGAGCTGAGCTTTTCCTGAAAACCTGCATAAGTTCAGGTAAGAAAGTATAGAGTCCAAAGAAAGACAAACTCAGACCTTAAAACCAGGAAAACAAAATAGAAGTAAACTGATCAGAAAATGGCTAAAAGATCATAAAATGATCATTGAGTAGGTAGCTGCTTCTCACACATCATGGAAGACACCTTGGAAATATCGATAGTGTAGAAAGAAATGTGCAGCATTTTGTCATCTTGTAACAGCATTTAAATGTTCAAACATCTTAGCTTTTGTTCTAAGTTGAAATTCAAGTAAAAAGATGTCACACTCATTTCTCATTGGATTGTACAAAAGGATGAAAACTGTTTTCCCCCTTTAACTTGAAGACATCTTTAAAATCAACATGAAAATCTTCACAAGTATGACCCCTTTCTCCTTAACAGAGATGTTAAGTAACACAAGGAGTTTAACATAAATATTAAATAATTAAGTTAAAAGAAATAGTTCATATAAATAAATAAATATGATCAATCAGCTTCTACAGTTCAGTTGAACGTTCTTTTAGTAGTACTGTGGGGTTGATATCATCTAGTCCAGAGTGGGAAGAGCTTGCATTAATGGTGACTGTTTTGGTGAGCTGTGGATCTTGAACACTGAATGAGGTAAAAGGACAGCCTTTCACGTTATTGCAGATGAGAGACTGAATTGAGGCAGTCTTGATGATTTTAAAACCTACTTCTCCACCAAAAGTGCTAGGCTTCCAGTACTCAGGAGAACATATAGGATTACCCATAAGTCCTTTCAAGGAGAATGGTGCTCCAACTTCTACCATGGTCTCCCCAAAGATGGCGTCTGGTCGAGGCTTTTCTACCAGAAGAGCAGGATACAGCTCCATGGCATCAACGTCACCATAGAGCGCTTCTAACTCCGCAGCCATTTCCTTCTCTCCTGTGAAGGTGACAAGGACAGAGATACAACCAATGTAAAACTTTTACAAAATAAAAAAAGTCTTACCCTTTGCTCAATTTCCTTTCAACTTCTGCTGTTTTCATTTGCCCCTTGACTCTTTGAAGAAGTTTAGAAACTGTTCCTCACCTGTAAGTTCTTCAAATGATTTATAAGGCTTCAGCAGAAAGCGTTTGCGGTACTCATTAAAAGACTGGTATTTCATCTCTCTGCTGTGGTCAATTGAAGCCTTTGATACTTTCTCTACTGCAACTGGAAGATTCCTACCACCAGCAACCTGTTGAAAATGAATTACATTGTAGAACACAGTTGAGTTTTAGGCATATTTAAGATTTTTTTTTTTCTTTTTTTGGCCGTGCTGCACAGCTTGTAGGATTTTAGTTCCCTGACCAGAGATTGAACCTGGGCCCTCGGCAGTGAGAGTGTGAAGTCCTAACCACTGGACCACCAAGGAATTCCCAGATTTCTATTTTAAAAGCATCCCTTGGGTACCAAGTGCATAAGACTGATGCCCCAGCTCCCAGCTGAGACCTAAACTGTAAGTTTGGAATATTTATAGAATATTTCTATGATCTAGATTATAATGGTAACATTATATTATAATCGAGATTATATGTTAGGCTTCTTATTTCAAGGAAAGAATATTACTAGCAAATAATTACTCTTTTAGTAAGTTTAAGAAAAATCATTTCTGCAGCAGAAATTCTAGTTACTGACAAGTCCTTTGTTTTGTTTTGTTTTTCAATAATAAAGCTTACCCTGCCAGCAATTTGCCTGGTGAATGATTCAACAAACTGAGTGAGGCCGTGTTCCAGTAAGAGGGAGTTGTTATAGACAAATTGCTGATACTTGTAGTCCTGGCCATCAATCTGAAAGGTGTCAGGCAGAAGGGGATGCCAGTGGTAGAGTGTGTTAAACTCAGCAGCAATACGGTTTTGGTACTGGAATTGTTGGTTAAAAAGCAGCTCTGGGTCAAACTTCAGTTTGAAGTGATAGCCACTCAGGTGCTGTACATAGTCTTCAATCACAATCTTAATAGTTTCTCCTATTGGCACAAAAGAAAAATTTAGAACATGAATTTCTTCTCACAAACGTTCAAGAAACCAAAATGCAATTGTTAATTTGCCATTCCTTCACTTTTATATTTTCTTTTTTACCATCAAAAGCTCAGGAATTGAATGAATATGGAGCAGGTGATTTTACACGTACTACATTCCCCCAGAATTACTGAAAACCTAGCAAAGTTAGTTTTCTCTGGGGAAGAGGATTTTATTTAAATGATTTGCCCTTCTTGCTTACCTATCAGTATTAGCCTACTTGTCTGGAACAACCGCTCATCGTCCCATTCTGGATGCTCATGTTTAAGAACATCACACACTCTGTTGTGTTCCCGCAGCCAAATTGTGGCATACATCATCAGACCAGGCACCAGACCAAAGACTTCCTGCCCCACAGCAAACCGCAGGTGTTCAGGAACATGAGGGGGGTAGATCATCTCGACCTGAGTATCTTTGACTGTGGGAGGATACATTTCACCACCAATTATCTAAAAAATAACAGTAACAAAAGAGGTAAGAAACAAATTTTAATCATAAGAGATTTTGAACATAGGTGGGTAGTGAGTCATAATTAATTCTTAATATTTAAATGGAACAAACCTGATATTTCATTTTTCCATCCTTGAAAAGGCGCAGTTTATGCTGTCTCTCCAAAGATTCACCATAAACATGATTTAAGTCCACCTAGAAGATTATGGAAAATTTTTAATTTGTTGCTGTTGTTTATTCTTATGTAAAGTGTCTATGATGTATTTATCACTAAATAACTTGATGATTTAGTTTGCTTTAATTAAAATTTTTCAATAACACATTTTTCACAGCCACAAAATAATAAATTAACTTGTTTATCCACTGAAGCTACTAAAACCTACAAACCTAAATATGTCACCTATTAGTGTCTCATATGGAGCTTATATCATAAGTTTCACTATAACTATATGGTATTTCTTTTAAAAAGCAGCAGAAAATGTTTGATATAAAATTCTTATCAATAACTTGAAGCTATGTCACTGAAATCCAAGAGATAATAATGCTGCAAAAATCTCACCTTATAATATTTAAGGCAGCATAATCAGGGTACAAATGTTTTTGAAGACAACCTTTTGCAGTGCCAATATTTTAAACTAAAAATATAAGAGCCAAACTACAAATAATAATCTGTATATATGTATGTAAGTATGTGTGTCTGTGTGTTTGTTTTTGTATTTTTACCAAACCAGTGAATTAAAATGGAAACTCCATTTAAGGTTTTTATAGATAGAACTATGATTTGCTACTAATTTTGATTTAACTCTGTCTTACCCCATGGCTCTGTCCCGTGGTGAAAGCTGGTCCTCGCTTATGATCTGTCTTGAAAAATTGATGGGTGAAGTGCTGGGCAAAGAACGCAAACATCATATTTGTGCCCTGGGGATCAGGGATGAACTTTCTTCTTAGAAGTACTTTTTCCACAACTTCTTTTGAATCAGGAAGCTCTTTCCTCCCTGAAAAATGAGAAAGCCTAAGGTAAGAATCCATCTATATATTCAAGGAAGCAGAGAGTGACTGTCAATTAACCAGGGTCTTTTTCACTTACAGGAGAAGTACAACTTTGAACAGGATCATAATATAAATGGAAGTTCTAAAACACAGGGGAACAACTTCTTATTGAATATTTTAATCTATTTTGTTTAATATTAATTCAGTTTTAATGATAGAATTTGAAAACATCATGACATTATACCAAAATGCCCATTCACTTTCATGGAGTAGTTTACATGGACTCACACTTTCAAAAAATCTCCAGAGATATCCATAAGGAAAAAATGGCTTTATTAACAAATAAATCATAGTTTATGGTCAAATTTTCTAGGTAGCAATCCAATTCCAGTTACAGTTAATACATCTCTAACTGCTTCCTCTCACTCACCTTTGACACCCATGGGTGTTGGGCAGTCATCAGGCACAGGAGGAAGAACTCTGGTGTAATAGGACAGGTTAGAAAAGGCTTCCCAGCTTTTATAGCCGTAGTGCACATTATAAGTTGGCGGGCTGTCAATCAGATGTGATCTCGCTGAAATTTGAGGGGAAAAAAAAACATTATTTGCTCCCATATGCAAGGCAAATCAATGTTCATTTTTATTGTAAAATATGCAAAGTGGCACTAGAGTGAATTTAATTCCAACAAAGATACTCTATTTTAAAACAGTTATACTTTAAAGCCAACGGCCACCGGTACTCAAAAAAGAGGAAAGAATGATTCATTAACATGCATCTTTGATAACGTATATATACTTTACAGAAGACAGTGTGGTCCAGCCATCTTGATTTTTCAAATAACCATCCACTTACTGCTGAAGAGGCCTATGAGGAATGTCTGGGCTTGACACTCACTTTGGAAATAAAGGTATTTTCTTGCTGACCCCAATCCAAATTATCCATTTATTTTAATGGGTGCAATTCTGTGGCCCATGGGCATTCAATAAACAACTAGACCACACTTCCTTCACAAACTGTCAAGAACAGTGAAGGTTAGAAGAGGTATGCAGGTATGCAGGATTTTAAGTAGAATTCTGACTGTGAGACAGAACTTTATAAACTTGAAGGGATTCAGATGTCAATACTTTTGGCCATTAAGACAGAAGGTAAACTAAAATGGTGTATTTAAATGTTTCGGATTAAGTTTAAAAATCTAAAGTTTTATAAAGTACATTTTTCTTTGAGGCCGCTGAAAGCCCTAGAAAGTGATTTGTACTTACATATCAACACATATCTCATAATCATGTTCTGCAGGAAGGGAATGTTATTGACAATGTTCCAGACTCCCTTGAAGTGCGTAAGTATGTAGTGCACTGTGTTTGGAGTGGGTTTCAGGAATAATTTTATTCTTGTCAGAAATTCAGCTGCAAAGAGAAAAAAAAGAGAGAAATTAATGGGACCTCATTATAAGACACAATTCTGTAAAATGATAACTGTATATATCCCCATTCCAAATGAGGGCACCCAAAAACAAACTTACGTGTGGTACAGTTTTCACCATAGAATCCTGTTCGGGTACAGTCACATTTATACTGGTCAAATCCTATGCTCATACATACACCTCTATTCTGGCATGGACTGGAACAGCAAGGATTTGCTACAATAAAGTAAAGACAATGAGATTGATATATATGTCATATATATGACGTAATATGTATAAAATAGATAACTAATAAGAACCTGCTGTATTGCACAGGGAACTCCACTTCACTGTACAGTAAAAATTAACACATTGTAAAACAACTATACCCGAATTAAAAAAAAAGAAAGTAAAGACAGTGAATAAATCATTCTTCAGTGTCTTAATCTTGACTTAAACATTTAATTGTTTTACTTACTATGATTCAACTTTATGATTAAAAAGTTCAAGAAATATACAGGTAGTCATGGGAAAGCAATTTTTTTTTGGCTTGCCTCACAGAATGGTTATAATGTAGAAATACCAACTTCCTATTCTAAATAAAGGTAACAGAATATTCCACCAGACATATTGGTGGAATGTTGCTAAGCTTTTCTTTGTAACTTTTTAGATGTTCAAATTAGCCTTTTTAAGAGGCTCAAAGAAGTAGGACTTCCAAAATTAAAGTTAATTGATCTAGTACATTAATCAAAATTTAAGTGTTTTTTTGGTTTTCTTTTTGTTTTTGTCAGAACTCAAAGCTGTTGAAAGATCTGGACAAAGAACATTCCAAGTTGAGAGGAAAACTAGTGAAAAGGCCCTGAGGCGTGTTTGAGAGAGTGTGGCAGAAGCAAAGCTAGGAGGAGAGGTGGAAGGTGAGTTCAGAAAAGGCAAAGGCAGATCATGTGGGTCTTATGGGAATTTGGGTTTTATTCCGTGTCAAGGGAAATCATTGAATGGCTTACAGTATTAAAGTGGCATGACTTAATTTACATTAAACAAAAACAAAACAGGGAATTCCCAGGCCATCCAATGGTTAAGACTGCTCTCACTGCTGAGGGCCTGGGTTCCATCCCTGGTCAAGAAACTAAGATCCCGCAAGCTGCGCAGTGCAGCCAAAAAAAAAAAAGTAGAGAAAATTTCAAAGTAAAAACAGCTTCATTTTTAAACATTTTGCTTACCTGAAAAAACAATCTGGACTTCCCTGGGGCAGGAAAGCACTAACTAGGGTATTTAACACAATTATTTCCATTCAATAACAGTAGGTACTATTAAAAACAAAACATCTCGCATATATTGATCAGATTCTGTCTTATGATAACCTGCAAATTAGTATCACTATTCCTATTTAGCAGATGAGAAAAGTGAGACTCGGACGGGTTAAGTAAGTGACCCATGATGATCAGAGCTGATGGCAAAGCTGAGCTGTCCGTCCAGTTTATTTGGACTCGAGTGGTCCAGCCTCTTTACAAAGCCATACAGCCTCTGTCTTCCAAGGGTATTCAGAATACCTAGAGTTCCCTGGAGAGGTCAGAGCGGAAACTCGACCCGGGTGTACGGAGCCGCGGAGTCCCAGGTGCCGGGCGCCCAGGTACTCACTCACCTGCACCACAGAGCGCCAGGGCGGCGCAGAGCAGCAGCGCGCGGGCAAGCATCTCGGCTGCGGGAGGGGCGCGGGACCGGCAGAGGCGTTGCGTTGTGTGAGTCCCGCCTGTCCAGTTGGAGGAAGGCGCGGTGCGGAGTTCCTGAGCGTCCTCTGACGGTCGCTGCGAGTCGTTTGACAACTGGAAGCTAACGGAGAGGACCTTCCTTTTATGCGTGAAAACAGCCCACGTGACGGCATGACTGTTTCTTTCCGCCTTTCCTTCCCCCCCTCCAAAACTTTTCCTCCGTCTCTCCACTTAAATAATTGCGTAAGACCCGCCCGGGTCGGGGTAGGATTTTTTTTACCCACGGAAACTGGAAAATCGGAAACCTGGGAGGTTGCGCTCGGCTTCCCCAAGGTGGGTGCAAAGCGGATCGCCCCCTCCCCACTTCGATCTTCCTGAGCCCCTCCCTGGGTTTCTCCGCCCTCGGCGCCGGGCTTCGCGCCAGATTCCTTTCCTTCTTTCGGGTCTTTGACCCAGGCTTCCAAGACCCGATGCCGAGGCAGATCTTCTTGCGGGGGAAGGGCGGCCCCCTGGTCTTCCTTTCCCGGAATCAGAGGAGCCTGGAGGTTCCGGAGCGCAGGGAATCCCCTTGCGCGCCCCCGCCCCCTGGTCTGGTCCCTAGGCTTTGGGGGGCCGAAGAAGACACAGTCTGGACAGACTGGGGAGAGTGGGTCCAAGAAAGGCTGACATGTTTTACTCATGTGTATTTCAGACGTGTCATGATTTCAGTGACCACTCAGCCTCGTGTAGGTTCAGCACACACATACATACATTTAAATTTTTTTTAGATTTTTACTTGACCTAATGAAATGTGATAGCTATAGTCAGCGTACATATCTGTAGCTTCTCTTTATAGCTGAGTTGTTTTTAACATAAATGCTGTTCTCCACGCCACCACCCCGACGTTGCTTCTTGGAGAGGGGAAATAAAGGTAAATTCCTCTCCTCAATACCGATCCTGAGTTCTTATCCTGTAAATCGTCAATCTGGGATCGAAGGGTCACCGCTATAAACTTTCCTCTCCGATGAACCAGGGAAGCGGAGGTGACCAGGATCTGCAGGGATGCTAAACGTCCAAAACTTCTGCTTTAATGCATTTCTTTCTCTGCCGCTTGGTTCCCAGTGTTTGGGTCGCCAGCCCTTCACAGGAGATACAAATAGAAGGAAGTAGATTTTTAAAGTTTGCTTTTTTGTCTTTTCTGCCTACTTTTCCAGGATAATGAGTTGTGACAAAGGATTAAAATACATTACGTTTACTTTTCAATTGTCTGCGCTTATTAGGGCCAATTTTCTATTCTCATTTTGGAAGGTAATTTGATGAAGAATTTGGATGGAACGGATGTAAAAGAAGGGTGATTTTGACAATTTTGAATTTCATCATCCTTTGCTTTTGTTTAACATCTATCTTTTGGTAGTGGCTGGGAGGGTGTGTGAGGGTAAAATGCTAAGAAAAGAAAAAAAAAAGTAGCAGCGTTGTAGAGCCTTTAAAAAAAGACACTGGATTTTTAAAAAAAGTATTTTGCTTAATGTACACGTTATCTGATTCTACATGAGACACAAATGACTAAAATTCCATCTCACGCAGGAAGCTTTTCTCCTCTAGACATAGTTAATCATTCCATTTGTGACACTCCCATTTATTGTACTGAGTCTTACATGAAATTTCAACTAAGAGCATAGATTTAAAAAAATAATTTCTTTTTTTTTAAGGTATTAAACACATCAATCTGAGACACTTTATTAATTAATTTATATTTATTTTTGCTGTGTTTGGGTCTTCGTTTCTGTGCGAGGGCTTTCTCTAGTTGTGGCAAGCGGGAGCTACTCTTCATCCCGGTGCGCGGGCCTCTCGCTATTGCGGCCTCTCTTGTTGCGGAGCACAGGATCCAGACGCGCAGGCTCAGTACTTGTGGCTCACGGGCCTAGTCGCTCCGCGGCATGCGGGATCCTCCCAGACCAGGGCTCGAACCCGTGTCCCCTGCATTAGCAGGCAGACTCCCAACCACTGCCCCACCAGGGAAGCCCAATAATTTCTTTTAATAATTCCAATTTTCTGTTTCATTTTAAGTGAGTAGGATGTATCTACTCAAATTTTAAGTTGATATTTAAGACTACTAATTTGAGCTTGGTTAGATGCGAGGGAAGAATTCATACTCTGAATTCTCTTTTTTTTTTTTTTTTGTTTGTTTTGTTTTTGTTTTTTTGTGGTACGCGGGCCCTTCACAGTTGTGGCCTCTCCCGTTGCGGAGCACAGGCTCCGGATGCGCAGGCTCAGCGGCCATGGCTCACGGGCCCAGCCACTCCGCGACATGTGGGATCTTCCCGGACCAGGGCACGAACCCGTGTCCCCTGCATCGGCAGGCGGACTCTCAACCACTGCGCCACCAGGAAAGCTCTGAATTCTTAAGTATACTAAAATTTTATATTGTAATCCTGAATTCATTTTGAAGTCATCATCATTGTCCTCATCAGAGCTTAATTGTATACCTACTATGTATATAAGTATACCTACTGTGTATATAAGTGTGTTCTGTTTGCAGAGAGGCTGAATTCAGAGGTGAGAACAAAACAGTGTAGAGAATAATAACATTTAGACTACTTGGAACTTAAAGAAATTGAACTCCATTTCATAGTGGAAATTCAATTAAAAAACATCTATTTGGTTAAAGTACTTGGTTTAATCTGTAACTTCTATAGCACAATAGAGAGAGTTACATGTACCTATGCAGTCAGAAAATAGTTCAAGGAGAAAATGACATTTTAAGGATGGGTGCAGTTTAGAAAGGAAGTCCAATTATGGGCTTCAGGAAAAACAATAGTGATTTATTAATTTTGACAAGTCTGAGACAATAAAATAAAATGGAAAGCATATTTGGGGATGCTGGTCATGGGGGAATATTAAATGTCCCAAACCAAATCAAAGTGGCTAAACCTGTCATATGTGGAAAAGTACTATGATTATTATGCTGTATGTCACACCATAAAAAATAAGGTTATGATTATGTAAAAATTTTAACTCTCATTTGGGTATATATTTAGCGTTTCTGTGTACATTTTAGACAAATATATGTATCTGTTATATAAAATTTCTTTTATTAGTCTCTGAAATTTGTTGGGAAATTCTCTGTATAAAGCGAAAATAAGAAAGCATATTAAAAATCTTCCAGAGCATTCTGTTGAGTTTTACTGCCCCCTTCTGCTGCTTCATTTTTTATCAACTTCTTTTTCTCTCTGATTGCTGTGAAGATCACTAAGTAGATTTTGTGAGTGATGTTATAATGTTCTTAAAAGTCCACATATGCAGTGTTCATTTGAAATTTAACTTTCATGAATATTCTAAAAAGGAATGAAATATGTGTTAATTGAAGTGATAAGCCATTCATATGAGCTAAAAGAAAATGAACAATAAAGGCTATTAATACCCAAAATTCTAAACGGGCTAACATTTTCAAGGGAGATATATCTTACTGCTTTGAGCAGGATTCTACCATTCAGACGTGGAAGGTTGCTCATATCCACTGTCTTAGTCATGGAGCTTCTTTCTATTTCCCTCCCTTCTCCTTTGGCTGATTTAGTGATTCACTCAGAGAGAGTGGCGATTGCCCCTTGTCTTTTTTTTTTTTTTTTAATTTATTTTTGGCTGTATTGGGTCTTCATTGCTGCGCGTGGGCTTTTCTTTAGTTGCAGCGAATGGGAGCTACTCTTCGTTGTGGTATGTGGGCTTCTCTTTGCAGTGGCTTCTCTTGTTGTGGAGCACGGGCCCTAGGTGCACAGGCTTCAGTAGCTGTGGCACGCAGGCTCAGTAGTTGTGGCTCGCAGACTCAGTAGTTGTGGTGCACGGGCTTAGTTGCTCTGCAGCATGTGGGATCTTCCCGGACCAGGGCTCAAAACCATGTCCCCTGCATTGGCAGGCAGGTTCTTAACCACTGTGCCACCAGGGAAGTCCCACTTGTCTTTTTTATTCATGACAGGCTGGCTAGAAAAAGAGCTTTGCTATCTTGCATCTTGCCTTAAGAGACATTTTAGCAAGGTTATGCCACAGAGTATGTCTGTTTCCTGAAGGGCAGAAAAAATACCCATAAAAGACCCTTCCTTTAGTCTTTTAGTAAATCCTTGCTATATACCCATTCCTAGCTACACTTTCAAAGCTAAAAACAAGAGCATGTGGACAAAGAACGTCACCTATCATTTCAGTAAACAAAGGATGTAAAACCCTCAGCCACTGACCCACTCCCCTCCCCCATGGTGCAGGACAGTGCACCCCGAGGGGAATTCAGGATGGAGATAAACAGGCTTCCACTGCACTGACTGTGTACCCTGAGGGGATTCAGGGTGCAGAAAAATAGGATAGTGGCCCTATCA